AATTCAGCGGCCCAAAATTTCACTGTCGTAAATGATGGTGCAGAGTCCCCATACACAGAATCCAACTCATCTTTGATTTGCGTAGGCGTATTGCCTTTCAAAAACAAATATTTAATGACAGCTCGATACTCGATTTTGTCCATTTTCACAAAAACACTCACATCAACTTACTCAAACGACTGTTACATAACAACTGCGAGTCCAAAATGGCTGAAACTTCGGTGAGTAACTGTCAACAGATGAACAACGAAATTCACTAGCTTTTATTTACAAGTGCTGCTATCTTCACGTTGAGGTCGGAAACTTTTCAGACCACCCTCGTATGTGGTTCTGCTGGATCGCTTGCTCTCGTTGTAGTGTCCTCACTAAGCTTGGCTTGCTCTTTTAATATCCTAATTCCGTCCTCCGATCTCTTTGATTATTTGGTTGGAGGAGGATAATTTTGTTTGTTGTCTCATCGTTGTTGTTTGGTTTAAGATCATGTATATGTATGTGTTTGTGCCATTTTTTGTTTTCGTCGATTAGATTTACTATTACTGGTGAGATGATTCGTTTTACCGTTAGCGATTCCATATATTTCGGTGTTAATTTCGAATTAATAGCTTTCTCTTTGTAGGACAGTGTATGCGCCCGTTTCCATACGACATCTCGGATATGCGGTTTCCAGGCCCTTTTCCTTAAGTTGTAGAATTTCTCTTGTTTTTGGAACGCACGTGCCATATGAATTTTTACTAGTTCATACGCGTCCTTCAATTGTTCGTGGAGCTTTGTTGATGTCGTACCTGGTCTTTGTTTGCGTTCTAATTCGCATGGTCCCGCGAGCTCTCTACTGTTGTTCAAGAACGCCGGCGTATATCCTATGCCTTCGTTTTGTGCTGTATTAAAAGCAAACTTTATTTGGCTTAAATTTTCATCCCAGCTTCTATGGTCTTTTTCTACGTATTGGGAGATCATTGTTTTTATCGTACGATTTGCTCTTTCTACGGGGTTGCATTGGGGAGTCCATACCGGTGTCCACCGGTGTTGTATTCCTAGTTC